GTGGGACCATGCTAGAAGCTGTATTCAGGCCAAGACAATACAACCATAGTATATCAGTTATATCAGGAATACTTTAATCTACAACAGGGTAATCAGAGTCATGAGGAGTACTATGCTAGTATGAGAAACATTCGTAATGAATTGAATGTTTATCACCCCCTCACTTCTGATGTCAAAATTCAGCAACAATAGAGGGAACAACTTGATGTGACTCGACTTTTGGTGGGGCTGAAATCTGAGTATGAACCAGTGCGGGCTCAGATACTAGGAGGGTCAGCTCTCCCTTCCTTAGAAGAGGTGTTTGCTCGGCTTAGTAGGATTTCCATTGGATCTATCGAGAACCCTAATGTTTCCGGTAGATCAGCCTTTGTAGTATCCAAAGGCCGTGGTGTTAGAGGTGGAGCTCGGGGAGCTCAGTCTAGCCGTAGTGGCAGCAGTGGACCGACATATGGCCGGAGTGGTGGTAGTGGATCTACATATAACCGTGGTGGTGGTCGTACTGGAGGTCGAGATTCAGGGGGAGCCCGTGGCAGAGGACGTAGTTCGGGTCCGAGGAGGTGTACACATTGTGGTATGGATGGACATACCATTAATTATTGCTTTGACTTGCATGGTCTACCCTCAACTTGGGCTAATCATGCCGTGACTAGTGATAGTAACTTCAGATAGGAGTCATTCAACTGATCAGATACCTTCTACATCCACAGATGTTACTRGGAAGGAGATGATGAGTGTTCCTTGGGATGGGTATGAGAGGTTTGTTTAGGCCACATCTCAGCAGAACACGACCACTCTCGCACACTCAGGTATGGCTTGTCTGGCATCCACACCCAATCCCTGGATTATTGATTTTGAAGCCTCCGATTACATGATTGGAACTCCAGGTGTGTTTTCCTCCCTCTCTCATCGCCCAACATCACAATTTGTTACCCTTGCTAATGGTTCCACATCTTCCATTTGTGGTGTTGGTAATGTTAACATGGACCCTGTATCCTTATCCTTGGTTTTGTATGTCCCTAAATTTCCTTTTAATCTTATGTCAGTTAGTAAGTTGACCAAGTCTCGTAATTTCTCCATTACCTTTTACCCCACTTCGTGTGTTTTTCAGGATCTCAAGACGGGGATGAAGATTGGTGGAGGGCATGAAGTTGGTGGATTGTATTATCTTGATGGAAGTGGGAGTACGTCAACATCTCTCCAATCATCTCTTTCTCCTCTCTAGTGGCACTGTAGATTTGGTCATCTTTCACTGAAAATTTTGAAGTCTTTGGTTCCTTCATTGAGTCATTTGTTTGTTTTGGATTGTGAGTTGTGTCAGTTGGGGAAACATCATCGTGTTCCCTTTAGTCCTAGAGTTGATAACCGTATGTTGAGTCATTTTTCTTTGGTTCATTCAGATGTTTGGGGTCTTTATAAAGTAATGTCATATAATGGATACAGATATTTTGTCATTTTTGTTGATGATTATTCAAGGATAACGTGGCTTTATTTAATGAAAGAAAGAAGTGAATTGTTTACCATTTTCCAAAAATTTTATGTTGAGATTCGCAACCAATTTGGTGTTCACATTAAAATTTTTCGTTCTAATAATGGCCGTGAATATTTCTCTTCATCATTTCAAGAATACCTAGACCAACATGGCATTATCCATCAGATTTCGTGTACCTACACCCCACAACAAAACGGGGTGGCTGAGAGAAAGAACCATCATCTTTTGGAAACAGCTCGATCCCTCATGCATTACATGAATGTCCCCAAATCTTTTTGGAGTGATGCAGTGCTTACTTCTTGCTTCTTAATTAACCGGATGCCCATATCCTTGATGGTCATTTTCCATTCACCACATTGTTTCCTACCTTGTCTCCGTTTCCTCTTTCTCCTCGGATTTTTGGGTGTGTTTGCTTCGTTCATAATCTGGGGCCAGGAAAGGACAAGTTAGATGCACGATCTATTAAGTGCATCTTCCTAGGCTATTCCCGGACTCAGAAAGGGTATAAGTGTTAACATCCCAGCTCTCGATGTTCCTTTGTGTGTGCTGATGTTACCTTCTTTGAGTTTACTCCATTTTTCTTGGGGTCTGGTGATGTTTCTTCCACTTCATCACCTCCTCCCCTTCCTCTTCCAGTTGTGGGTTATGTTCCTCTTGTTCTAGCTGTGACCAAGTCCTTGCCTCCGGTGCCACTACCTGTTGAACGACCACCTATCCATCACGTGTATACACATCGCCCACATGTACCAGCTCCTCATCCAGCTCCATCATCGTCGACAGATCCGACAGCTGTTCCCACACCAGCCTCAACCCCAATATCTGATCTTGATCTTCCCATTGCCTTGCGGAAAGGTAAACGCAGTTGTACCCTTCATCCTATTTCTAATTATGTTTCACTAACTCACCTTTTCGCTTCCCATCGCCAGTTTATCTCTTTGTTATCCTCTGTTGTTATCCCTAAGGATGTCTAGGAAGCCCTTGCCTCTCCAGGATGGTGCTGTGCGATGGAAGAAGAACTCCCAGCTCTGGCCCATAATCATACATGGGAACTCACCACTTTTCCTCCTGGTAAGCAGATTGTTGGTTGTAAGTGGGTTTATACGGTTAAGTACTTGCCTGATGGTAGTGTAGAGCGACTGAAAGCTAGATTGGCTGCCAAAGGGTATTCCCAAACCTATGGTATTGATTACACAGAAACTTTCTCCCTGGTTGCTAAGATTGGTTCAGCCCGTGTTGTGGTTTCTCTTGCTGCGATGTATGATTGGCTCCTCTATCAGTTTGATATCAAGAATGCCTTCTTGCATGGTGATCTGCTCGAGGAGGTCTATATGGAGCAACCACCGGGGTTTGTTGCTTAGGGGGAGGATGGTAAGGTGTGCAGACTAAGGAAGGCTATATATGGGCTTAAACAGTCTCCTCGAGCATAGTTTGGCAGATTTAGTGAGGTGGTAAAGAAGTTTGGTATGAAACAGTGCCAAGTTGACCATTTAGTCTTCAGTCATGACTTTTAGGCAGGGAAGATCTTATTGGTGGTGTATGTAGATGATATTGTCATTACTGAAAATGATAAAATGGGCATTGACAGGTTGAAGACTTTTCTGCAGGAACATTTTCAGACAAAGGACCTTGGGGATAGAAGTAGCAAGGTCTAAGCATGGTATTAACTTGTGTCAGAGGAAATATGTTCTTGATTTGTTTGAAGAAACAGGTTTGTTAGGTGCTAAACCAACTGAAACACCTATGGAAACAAACATTAAGCTGAGTAGTGATATGGGTGAAGTGTTTGAAGACCCTGGTAGATACTGGCGGCTGGTAGGTAAACTGAACTACCTAACCATCACTCGGCTAGACATTTCATTCACAGTTAGTGGGGTAAGTCAGTTCATGTAGAAACCTCTGGTTCCACATTGGGATGCAATTCTAAGGATTGTGAGGTATTTAAAGGGGGCTCCTGGTCGTGGTTTGATATACAGAAGTGATGGAAAACTTGAATTAGAAGGATATACTGATGCTGATTGGGCCGGTTTTATATCTGATAGGAGATCTACCACAGGCTATTGCACTTTTCTTGGGGGTATTCTGGTGACATGGAAAAGCAAGAAGCAGACAGTTGTGGCAAGAAGCAGTGCAGAGGCAGAATATAGAGCTATGGCACATACTACTTGTGAATTAGTGTGACCAAGGAACCTTCTACAGAAGATGGGATATACTGTTGATACTCTAATGAAGCTCTACTGTGACAATCAGGCTGCAGTTCATATTTCCTCTAA